TAGGGGCCTTATGTACAGCAGAATGAAACACTGCACAGTCGTGCATCATCCTCAAAATCGTTGCTGTGTTTGAGCCCATTGTTGCAGCCACTATGTCAATCCATCTCGTTGAGGGTCTTCCTCTTTTTCACTGACCCTTACTTTACCAAGCATGATGTCCTTTTCCAGGGACTGGTACCTCCTGATATCATGTCCAAAGTACGGGAGACGAAGTCTTGCCATCCTGGCTTCCAAGGAGCATCTGGCTGTACTCCTTCCAAAACAGATTTGTTCATTCTTCTGGCAGTCCATGGTATATTTAACCTTCTTTGCTGACACCATAATTCAAAGGTATCAATTCTTCTTTGGTCTTCTTAATTCATTGTCCAACTTTCCCATGCATACGAGGTGATTGAAAACACCATGGCTTGGGTCAGGCACACCTTAATCCTTAAAGTGACATCTTTGCTTTTTTTTTTTTTTTTTTTTTTTTAACACTTTAAAAAGGTCTTTTGCAGTAGATTTGCCCAATATAATATGTCATTTCATTTCTTGAATGCTAGTCCCATGGGCACTGATTGTGGATCCAAGTAAAATGAAATCTTTGACAACTTCAATATTTTCTTTCTTTATCACGATGTTGCTTATTGGTCCAGTTGCGAGGATTCTTATTCCTTTATGCTGAGGTGTAATCCATACTGAAGGCTGTGGTCTTTGATCTTCATCAGTAAGTGCTTCAAGTCCTCTTCACTTTCAGCAAGCAAGGTTGTGTCATCTACATATCACCGGTTGTTAATGAGTCTTCATTCTGCTTCATATAGTCTGGCTTCTCAGATTATATGCGCAGTATACAGATATACAGATTGAATAAGTATGGTGAAAAGATACAATTCTGATGCACACTTTCCCTGACTTTAAACCATGCAGCATCCCCTTGTTCTGTTTGAACAACTGCCTCTTGATCTATGTACAGGTTCCACATGAGCACAATTAAGTGTTCTGGAATTCCCATTCTTGGCATATAGTTTGTTACGATCCACAGAGTCATATGTCTTTGTTTAGTCAATAAAACACAGGTCAATATTTTTCTGATATTCTCTGCTTTCAGCCAGGATCCATCTGACATCAACAATGGTATCCATCATTCCACGTCCTCTTCTGAATCCAGCTTGAATTTCTGGAAGTTCCCTGTCTATGTACTGCTGCAAAAGTTTTTGAATTATCTTCAGCATAATTTTGCTTCCATCTAATATTAATAATATTGTTCAATAATTTCTGCATTCTTTTGGATCACTATTCTTTGGAATAGGCAAGTATATGGATCTCTTCCAGTCGGTTGGCCAGGTAGCTGCCTTCCAAATTTCTTGGCATAGACAAGTGAACAATTCCAGTGTTGCATCCATTTGTTCAAGCCTCTGTCAGTTTGTCTTACTACGGTGGCTTGCATGTTGCTGTGATTCTGGAAGCTATACCACTGGTATTTCAAATATCAGCAGAGTCACCTGTGGTAGATAGGTTTCAGTGGAGCTTCAAGACTAAGACAGACTAGGAAGAAAGACTTGGCTATCTACTGCTAAAGAAATTGGCCAGTGAAAATGTTATGAATAGCGGCAGAACAGTGTCTGATATAGTGACAGGAGATCAGCCTCTCAGATTGGAAGGCACTCAAAATACAACTGGGGAAGTGTTGCTATCTCAAAGTAGAGTTGATCTTAATGATATGGATGGAGTCAAGCTTTCAGGACCTCCATTTGCTGATGTGACATGACTCAAAATGAGAAGAAACAGCTGCAAGTATCTGTTAATAATCAGAATATGAAATGTATGAAGTATGAATCTAGGAAAATTGGAAATTGTGAAAAATGAAATGGAATGCATAAACATTAATATTCTAGGCATTAGTGAGCTGAAATGGACTGGTATTGGCCATTTTGAATAGCACAGTAGTATGGTCTACTATGCCAGGAATGACAAACTGAAGAGGAACGGCTTAGCATTCGTCACCAAAAAGACCTTTTTATTATCTACCCTGAAATAAAACGCTGTCAGTGTTAGGATAATATCCATACACCTAAGGAAGGCCAGTTAATATTCAAATTTATGTACTAACCACCAATGTCAAAGATAAAGAAATTGAAGATTTTTACCAACTTCTGTAGTCTGAGATTGATCAAACATGCAATTGAGATGCATTGATAATTACTGGTAATTCAAACACAAATACTGGAAACAAAGAAGAAGGATTGGAAGCTGGAAATGATAGCCTTGGTGATAGAAACTGTGGGAGTTTGCATGATAGAATTTTGCAAGACTAACAACTTATTCTTTGCAATTTTTTTTTTTCAACAATGTAAACAGTGACTGTACACATGAACCTCACCAGATGGAATACACAGGAATCAAATAGACTACATCTGTGGGAAGAGACGGTGGAGAAGCTCAGTATCTTCAGTCAGAATAAGGCCAGGGACCAACTGAGGAATAGACCATCAATTGCTCATACGCAAGTTCAAGTTGAAGTTGAAGAAAATTAAAACATGTCCATGACAGCCAATGTACAACCTTGAGTATATCACACCTGAATTTAGAGATCATCTCAAGACTAGATTTGAAGTATTGAACACTCATGACTGAAGACCAGACGAGTTGTGGGATGACATCAAGGACATCATACATGAAGAAAGCAAAAGGTCATTAAAAAGACAGGAAGAAAGAAAGAAAAAAAAAAAAAAGACCAAAATGAATGTCAGAAGAGACTCTGAAACTTACTCTTGAACGTAGAGTAGCTAAAAAGAAAGTAAGAAATGATGAAGTAAAAAAGCTGAGCAGAAGATTTCAAAGGGCAGCTCAAGAGACAAAGTAAGGTATTATAATGATATATGCAAAGACCTGGAGTTAGAAAACCAAAAGGAAGACCACACTCAGCATTTCTCAGGCTGAAAGAACTGAAGGAAAATTCAAGCCTCGAGTTGCAATATTGAAGGATTTTATGGGAGAAAATACTGAACGATGCAGGAAGTATCAAAAGAAGCTGGAAGGACTACACAGAGTCGCTGTACCAAAAAAGAACTGGTTGATGTTCAAACATTTCAGGAGGTAGTATATGATCATGAAGCAATGATACTGAAGGAAGAGGTCCAAGCTGCACTGAAGGCATTGGTGAGAAACAGGGCTCCAGGAATTGACAGAATACCAACTGAGATGTTTCAACAAACAGATGCAACGCCAGAAGTGATCCCTCGTCTAAGATTCCATAGCTATATGTACTTGTTGTTAAATATATCTTTGAGGATATGATGCAGGAAAACAAATTTTTCTTCTTCCTGGTGAACTTCCAGATAATTTGTATGAGTCTAGTAGCTCTGTAAATATTTTTGTGGAAATCAGTGAAGTTCCATAGACCATACTGTCCTTTTTGATAACCAGGTTCAGAAACTCACTATTGTTTTGGGAGTATCTTGGTGTCATCGAGAACTTTGCACCAAGATCGTTTGAAATTCCATTTATCAACCAGTAACCCTACACTACTCACTTCCCCTTCCTGGACTTCAATTTTCTTAAATTAATTTTAGACTTAAGTTTTGATGACTTATTAATTTGGGTTAGTATGTTAATGAATCAGCATATAGATTCATGTTTATGGTTGAGGAAAATATCATTTTGATATTAACCAAGGAAAACAGATTTACCCTGGTACTTTATCTGGATATTGATTACATAGGAAAATAATAATGTCTGTAAGAAAAAAATCTAGACAAAAGAGGTCCATAGTTTATTAGCCAAAAAAAGGGTAAACGGTAAGGTATACCAAGGAAACTGTAGTTAAATTGCTCAGGTTTAGTCTCACTTCATTATTTTTAATGGAAATTTCTCTGCCATATCATTCTTATAGCTTAGCAGTGTATTTTAAATACATGAGTGGGTCAATAAAAGGAAACATTTATAAGACCATGTTTGTGTAAGTTTGTATTTTTTAGCATCCTTATGCTATACGTGTTTTACACAAATACTATTATATTTAGTTTTAAAAGATGTTTAAGACCATTATTAGAAGGACAGATGTTTACTTTTACACACTCTTAAATTTATGCTCCATGATGCTGGAGTGCAAAAGTCTGCTGCACGCGGCCTCCAGGGAGAGCGTAGAGACCCATCAAGAAGACAATGGGAGGTGTTGGAAGGCAAAGTTTCAACACATCAATTGGGTCTTAATGACCCACAGTTCATTCATTTCATAGGTTTTTCATGCCCAAGTATTTTAGGCTAGGAAAAGGGATAGTTATAAGGGTGAGCCTAAAGTCTTTCTTCCAGTTCTTCTCACTAGCCCTCAAGATATGGAAAAGAGTTACAGCTCACTCATCATCCTAGATATACCTCGATTTCTGCTGACAGATTTAGAATGTTGGTCTGGAAAATTTCCTAAACACGATCTCGCCCAGAATTTTATACCTTCCTGGGGAGTGCCCTGAGGCTTGTTCAACTCAACAAGTCTTTTTCCAGATGCACAGACCCATGAGGTATTGGCGTGAGAGGACTAGAACTTAAGGCAGCCTTCCCCCCCCCCCATCAGAACACTCTTATGTGCCTTTATACATTCTCCAGGGCAGAGATATAGTGTTATGTTTAAAAACAGATACAGCAAACAACTCAGCAGGTAGCTTCTGGAAAAGTCGTGCTTCAGAATCAGCTTGGATTTTCTGAAATAATTTGATCACTCCAGGAGGTGAGGGGGTGAGATAGATAGAAAATTTTTTGTTGTTGTCAAAGCTCAGAAAACCAGAGTAATTCATGATTTGGATATGCTGTGGCTTATCTTTTTTTCCTCTAAACAAGGCAAGCTCCTGGGGATAATCCTCGATTCTTATACTGGTGTTATTTGGTATAAAGATTTTTAAAGTTTAGCCCGAGCCATGCTGTGGCACTTGGCAGAAGCAAGGGCAATCCAATCTGCCACTCACAAACAGTTTCTATGGCTGGTTGATCAATTGTAAATCCCACCACAGGGGCTTCTTACCTATTAGTTAATCTTCTTGCTGACTCTCTGTTGGGTCATTTGTACTGTCAAGCTGACTATTCATTTCAACTGTAACCAGAAAGAAAAACAAAAAATGTTAAACATTTATTAAACCCACATACGTAAAACACATTAAAATGGCTTGTGATTTGATAATTTTCTGCTTTCCTATCTTACACATTTTTTCAGTTTATTTTCCTTTATTTAAGATCTTGGGACCATTTGTGTGGATTTTTATGGGGTGGGTGGCAAGATTGCCTCTTTACTGAGTTGTAGAATTCCTGTGCAATTTCATACCAGCTTTCGGGGTTGACAGCTTGAGTATATTTATTACTATACTTAGGTAAATTCAAAGGCCTTGATAGATGTCTAAGAACATAAAGAGAGAAAATAAAACAGATCATTCACATGCAGAGAGGTAAGCAGCTCCCTCCAAAGCAGGGCAACTGTCTAGAGGACTGTTGGGTTATCTATTTTAGAATTCATAACTGACCCTGCAAACCTGCCAATGGGTGCAGTGGCAGTGGACTCCATGGAGTAGAAAACAAACCATCTAATCAGATCACACAGATAAGATAAAGCATGTACTTTTAGTTTACTGGGTGTATTGTTCTGTGTGAACATTTGCATAAAATAGAATGCATAATTAGTACCATTATCCAGCAGTAGCCCAGAGCAGGCACAGCAGCCACTCTGGAAATTCAGGAGGGTCAGAGTATTTAATTAGCATGATATTTTTAAAGCATCAAAGCCCATACTATAAACTGAGAGGATGAGTATACAAATGGACAATGGATCATATATGATAACAGAACTGTGACCTACAACTTCTGCAGCAACCAGCCCAGGAAGTCAAAACACAACCTCTGCAACAATTGGCCTGGAATCGTCAGGACTTGGTCTATGACTGCCATCCCCCACCCTCCAACTCTGAACCAACCAGAGAAAGCCAAATATGCTTCCCCAACCAATCACATAAGTTATCCCACTTTTAGTTAGCACCTACAGCTTGCCCATGCCAATACCCTCCATTCGGAACATACATGAAGCCTTCCTTTTTTTCCCACTATATATAGCTTTCCCAATCCACTGTCTGTCTTTGCATCTCTGCCAAACATAAGGATGGTGGCTGAGTCCTTGCTCTGAATAGTGTTTGATTGTTCTTATTTTCAGGGGCTTCATTTATTTCTACAAAACCAACATACAAATCTCTTTTTCTCGAACTTGGCAGCACAATTAGGGTAAAATAGCAGCAGATGCTGGTTTTGACATTTCAAAGATGGTTGGAAGATGGAGTAACATAGTATGGCATCTCACCCACCTCTCTCCTGATGAAGAAGGCTTTAAAATCCAGTCTCCCTGTTCTCACCTGCAAACTCTCCTTGGTTGCTGATGATATGTGAGCTCATTCTAAACCCCATGTGTAAATGGGCCAGATTCAGCAACTCCATCTAGGTAAATAGTACGTGTACTTTCCATCCTGGCCCACAAAGTTATTCAGAATTTGCCCATGGCAGTTTGAATCAAACGTAGGAGAACATTTCTTTTTTTTTTTATTTTTTTTTTATTTACTTCAGGTGAAGGCTTACAGAACAAATAGTTTGTCATGAAACAGTAGTACACATATTGTTTATGACATTGGTTAACAACCCCACAACATGTCAGCCCTCTAACTTCTCAACTTTTTTTTTTTGGTGAAAATACACATAGCCAAAGATACATCATTTCAAAAATTTCTGCATGCACAGTTCAGTGACATTGACTACGCTCTTCCAGTTGTGCAGTTATTCTCACTTACGATGAAGGCTTACAGAACAAAATGGTTTCTCACTTAACAGTTATTACAAATGTTGCCCTATGACAATGGTTAACAATCTCACAACACATCAATAATATCCTTACTCAACCTTGGGTTCCCTATCACCAGCTTCCTTGTCCCCTTCTGCCTTCTGGCTCTTGTCACTGGACTACTGTACCTCGTTAGTCTCATTTGGTTTTACGGGGCTGTCCACTCCCAGGCTGAACGGTGAACCGCGGAGATAACTTCATCACTGAGCTGAAAGGGTGTCTGGGGCCATACTCTCGTGGTTTCTCCAGTCTCCTTTAGGCCAGTAAATCTGGTCTTTTTTTTTGTGAGTTAGAATTATGTTCTACATCCTTCTCCAGCTCTGTCTAGAACCGTCTGTTGTGATCCTGGTCAGAGCAGTCAGCGGTGGTAGCCGGGCACCATCTAGCTGTACTGGACTCAGTCCGGTGGAGGCCTTGGTAGCTGTGGACAATTAGTCCTTCGGACAAATCTTTTCCTTGTATCCTGTTCTTTTCATTCTCCCTTGCTCCCGAAGGGATGAGACCAGTGAAGTATCTTAGACGGCTGCTCACAGGCTTTTAAGACCCCAGACACTACTCACCAAGGTAGAATGTAGAGCATTGTCTTTATAAGCTGTGTTATGCCAATTGAGCTAGATGTTCCTCAAGACCATGGTCCCCAGAGCCCTCCGTCCAGCAACTCAGTCCCTCGGGGAGTTTGGATGTGTCCATGGGGCCTCCATGACATTTCCTTGTACAGGTTGTGTTAGTTTCCCCTGTATTGTGTACTGTCTCACCCTTCACCCAAGATACCACTTGTCTGTTGCCTATTTAGTATTCCCCCCCCCACCCCTTCCATCCCTGGGAACCAACAAAGATTGTTACATTTTGTGTGTGAACTTTTTCATGGGTTTTTACAATAGAGATCTCATACAATATTTGTCCTTTTGTGATTGACTTATTTCACTCAGCATAATGTCCTCCAGTTTCATCCATGGTATGAGATGCTTCACAGATTCATTGTTGTTCTTTCTCATTGCATAGTAAGGAGAGCATTTCTTTTCCATTACTTCCTTTAACTCAAGAGACACTAGTCCCAAAAACTACTAATAAGTATTACTAAAAAAAGAATTCCATGATCAAATTAGAGTGGGAAAGGAAACATTAAGCCACATTCAATAAGTGTCTTTACTGCCAAGACTTCTGGGAGTCTGCAATTATGTCATGTGCATGGTGAATCTCCAAGTGAGGACTAAAACACAGTATTTCTCACATTTACTTCCCTATTATTTAAAGAACATCAAACGGATCTAGTATTCTTCACAACGTGCTTTGTAAAGAACTAGTTAAGAATCATGTCTAAACTGTCACAACCAGGTTGGAACAGGTTTACTTCAAGTGAACATGACTAAAATGTGGTGGCTTTGCTATTTTCCTAAATTTTATTTATTTTGTTGTTGAGAATATACACAGCAAAACATACACCAACTCAACAATTTCTACATGTATATGTATATACAGAGTGACACTTTGGTCCCATATAGATAGACATTAAAAGAGCATAATGCTCAAAACAGATGTTTTTTACTAGTTAAGCTAAACTATTGTTTGGTTTCAAGAAGACTGCAGGGGATATTTTTAATTTAAGGTTTAAAGATTATCTCAGGGCAATGGTTTCAGGGGTTTATCTAGCCTCCATGGCTCCAGAAAGTCTGGAGTCCATGAAAATTTTAAATTCTGTTCTGCATTTTCCCCCTTTTGATCAGGAGTCTTCTATAGAATCTTTGATCAAAATGTTCAGTAATGGTAGCTGGGCACCATCCAGTTTTCTGGTCTCATGGCAAAGGAGGCAGTTGTTCATACAGGTAATTAGCCACACATTCCATATTCTCCTCCTATTCCTTATTCTCTTTCTTCCTCAGTTGCTCCTGGTGAATAGAGACCAATTGTTGTGCCTTGGATAGCCCCTTGCAAGATTTTAAGACCCCAGGCACTATGCAACAAACTAGGAAGTAGAACAGAAGCACTGAACATGTTATTAGTCCAATTAAACGGGATGTCCCATGAAACCATGACCTTAAATCTCCAAATCAAGGAACCAAATCCCATGAGGTGTTTGGTTGTACATAAGCAGGCTCAACAATTACAGTTTTTTTTGGTCATTGTTTGTCACAATCTTTGCCAATTCAGCTTGTTGACGGCAGTTACAATAATCAGCTGTGCAACCCTACCCTGAATCAATGCAATTTTTTCCATCACTATTAACTCCTCTTTTCCCCCTACCTCTCACCCCTAGTAACCACTAATAAACTTTGGTGTCTGTACATTTGCCTTTTCTTGTCTTTTTATGTAAGTGAGGTCATGCAGTATTTGTCCTTTTGTGATTGACTTATTTCACTCAGCATAATGTCTTAAAGCTCCATCCATACTGTAGCATGTATCAAGACTTCATTTCTCCGACTTGTTGTTGTGTTGTTAAGTGTAGTTGAGCTGGTTCCTACTCATAGTAACCCTATGTACAACAGAACGAAGCACTGCTTGATTCAGTGTCATCCTCATAATCATTGTTATGCTTCAGCTCATTGTTGCAGCTACTGTGTCCATTCTTCTTGTTGAGGGTCTTCCTCATTTTCACTGATCTTCTTGTTTACCAAGCATGATGTCCTTCTCCAGGGACTTGCCCCTCCTGATAACATGTCCATAGTATGTGAGACAAAGTCTTACCATCCTTGCTTTTAAGGAGCATTCTGGCTGTACTTCTTCCAAGACAGATTTGTTCATTCTTCTGGAAGTCCATGGTGTATTCAATATTCTTTGCCAACACCATAATTGGAAGGCATGGATTCTTCCTCAGTCTTCCTTATTCATTGTCCAGATTTCACATGCATATGAGGTGACTGAAAACACCATGACTTGGGTCAGGTGCACCTTAGTCGTTAAAGTGACATCTTTACTTTTTAATACTTCTAAGAGGTCTTTTTCAGATTTGTCCAAACCAATGCATCATTTGATTTCTTGACTGCTGTTTCCACAGGTGTTGACTGTGGATCCAAGTAAGACGAAATCCTTGACTACATCAATCTTTTCTACATTTATCATGATGTTGCTTATCGGTCCAGTTGTGAGGATTTTTGTTCTCTTTATGTGAAGGTGTAACCCATGCTGAAGGCTGTGGTCTTTGATCTTTATCAATAAGTGCTTCAAGTCCTCTTCACTTTCAGCAAGGAAGGTTGTGTCATCTGGATGTCACAGATTGTTAATGA